TGGATGGACAGTTAATTTCTCATACATTTGTGCATAATCTTTTAAAGATACATCTATAGAACAGAAGCACATCTGTACTGTTTTTGTGAACTTGACCACTTGCATACTCCTAAGTTTGAGATTCCAGATTGTAATACTGAAGTGTAATGACTCATAAAAATGAAAGATGCAAGGAACCAAAGACACTGAAAAGGTAGAGATGCAATGGCACAGTGGATTAAGCTATCCAAACAGAAGAAACAGGACTTAGCCCAAGGAGTTAATTCATGATGGCTGATTCAATATTATTTAATATAGATAATACAACATGGTGGAAGAGCTAAGTTCTTCAAACTGAAGAGAAAGGTGTTACAAAATGCTTACTGGCTCCAACCCTTACATCTACACATTCAACAGGGTTGGAAACAGACTAGACATGTATGTGCAACCTAGGATTCTGTGAAAAGTACATGTACAAGTTCAGGAAGACAAGCATATACAGTTCAGAGACACGCACAGGAACTGTTCCAAAAGTGAATCAGATGTTTGGAAGATTGGGTATGGGGGCCAGTAGAGCAAACCTAAATCCTAGTCCCTTCATGTTTTCACTGCACATGCCATGTTCCTTGAACAAGACTACTGAAAAGGCTTAATAAGCAATACAGGTTGAGTCCACCTTGTCCAAAATGCTTGAGACCAGAGATGTTTTGGATTTTTAAAAATTTTTTGGAATACCTGTATTTGCATAATGAGATATCTTGAGGATGGTAGCCAAGTCTAATTTATGTTTGATATACACCTTACACAAATAGCCTGAAGGTAATTTTATATAATACTTTTAATAATTTTGTGCATGAAACAAAATTTGTGTACATTAAACCATCAGCAAGCAAAGGTGTCACTATCCCACTTATCCATGAAAAACTTAGTTTTTAGAATATTTTGGATTTGGGAATTTAGGATAAGGGAGACTCAACCTCTATTGCTAATTAACAGAGGGAAAGGTTGAGCAGTGAAGAAACTATTGTTGTTGTTGTTGTTAGCTGCCCTCAAGTCAACTTCAACTCATGGGGACCCTGTGGGTGAGACATTTCCAAGCCCCACTATCCTCCACTGCTCTGCTTAGGTGTTGTAGATTCATGCCTAATTGAGTCTGGCCACCTGGCGTACTGTCTTCCTCTCTTTCTCCTGCCTTCTGTCTTTCCTAGTATTATCGTCTTTTCTAATGAGTTGTGCCTTCTCATGATATGGCCAAAGTACGACAGCCTCAGTTTTATCATCTTGGTCTAAACAATCCAAACAAGTAACGTTTTCAAATACTACATCAGATTCCTCTAGAAGTACTGTTCTGATGGTAAAGTAGTGCTTCTACTACATCTCTTCTGAAACTCTGGCTAGTTTTAGGATTGCTGTGCATGAAAAAGAAAAGCTGAAGAAAAGGAACAGCCCATTTCCTCATTAGTTTGAGCCAGTACTTCTATAGTAAAGAAGAAGCAGATGCTTCCAATTTTGTATTTTATATATTTAAAAAAAATAAAATATTAAAAAGATACAATCAGCACAAGAAATTCAAAATAATCCAGTTATTTGACAACAATTAAATGATGTCATAGCAACAATAAGTGGATAATAATTCAATGTATATTAATATCTCAAAACATTTCAATAAAAATGTATTTCAAGGTATAATACTTTCAGAACACATCACCATTCAGATTATCAACATCGAAATAGAAAAACAATAGAACATTAAGATACGGATAAACACACCCAATCCTCACAAACACAGTATTTTGCATGATTTAGATAATAGTACCAATTCCATCTCTCTGTTTGCATTTAGAAGAACAAGGAAAAAATAACTAGTTGAATCTGGGTAATTACAGCTCTGTATTCATAATAAGATGGTCTTGATTAAAAGTTTTACTTATTAAATTAATTAAATTTGGATGGAATAGAAAGGTTTTGGCCCCAAAATTGGTGAATTAAAAAAGTATAGTTAAGCGCTAGAAGCTAGTACATATACAGTCCAGTCCTGTGCATAGTTGCTCAGAAATAAGTCCAATCGTGTTCTGTGAAGTATAGATGTGCACAGACGTGCAGATGGGAGGCAGTAACTTTAAATTACATAAATCATAAAACGTCTGAAAGACCTCCATAATAATTTACGATATAATAACTTGTCCATTTATGACACCTCTGAAAAGTATAGTAGGGCAAAGTTTTGGCTGGCACCTTCACTAGCAATAAGCACCATAGTATCAAAACACATAGTCAAGGCCAGTGCTTCTTCATTATCTGATATGGGGGATCGGTGTCCCCCACTCATTGTGTCAGGGACTAATATCCTATTTGTGCTTATTGATGACAATGGTTTCATTATTTCTTGGAAACCTGCTACAGATTGCCAGCCCCTGTCAGACCAACAGTCTACCAGTTTGAGTTACACTGTATTTGTCAATTTATGGCAACCCCATAGGGTTTTCTTAGGCAAAGAATCCTCAGAGGTGATTTTGGCATCTGATATTTCTTGGCAGTCTTCCATTCAAGTACTAACCAGGCCTGACCCTGCTTTGCTTCAGAGATCAGATGAGATATGATGCCTTCAGGGCACTGGTCAAGGCTAATTGAGTTATAAAAGAGATGCAGGTCCAGCAACTGACTGCACCATCTTGTTTACTTTGCCTTGGGAGCAGAATTTTGTTGTTGTAGGAGAGGTCAAGCGCATCCAAGCTCAGATCAGCTCAGGGCAGAAGTGGTCAACTTGTAGCTGTTCAGGCACACTTGGGATTGCTGCTCCCATCATATGTTTGCAATCCAACACCATCTGGAGGTTCATACTTTGTCAACGCCTGACTTAGAACTATTTGGAAGAAAGGAAGATGCAGATAATGTAAAGAGTGAATGAAGAGGCTGTGTCCTGAAGAGAGAGCTTTTAGTCCTATAATGTCCATTATCAGTTCTATAATGTTCTATAATGTCCATTATAACATTATACTGTTCTATAATGTGCATTATCAGTGTGAGGGGTTTCCCAGTACACTCAGGATCCATACATAAAATATTGGACTGCCCAATATAGCTCCAGTGTCCCTAACTGTAGGTCACATACCAATTCAAATGTGTGGTTTTTTTTTTTAAGTTAAAGATAAAATAAATTAGCAAAAAATGTTGAAACTAGGACACTACTTCGCTGGTCAATGTATTAATTGGAATAAGGCATGATATAGATTTTCCCCCTGGATTGGTTCTGGCCAGATATCTTTTACTGATTTCCTTTTTCTGTCAATTGATGAGGTTTTCTTAGCAAGTATTTATTGATTTGCTTATCAATATATTACCAACAAGTTTTATTACAGACTCCCTTTTCTTCTACATCTTCAGTAGATACATATATAAAGGTCCATTGGTATCAGAGGTAAAAACATAGATATCCAACACTTAGGAAATTTATAAACTCAGTGATGGAGGGGGACAGTGTATCAGCATGTCCTTTTAGGAGAAAGGAAGTTTCTCAGACTGCATGATTCTCCCAGGAAATAGCAGGTGTGGTCAGAAAAGGGAATGGTATGTACTTTGATATGAATTAAAGGCAAGTGGAAGATCTTGGAAAAGGACCACTGATGGCTGTGCACATCATATACAGTTAGGAGCAAACATGCTCCCCTGTTGAAAACATCACTATTAATCTGATTGGAGCAGGACAAGAGCCGGTGACTGATAAGTAACCATAAAAATTATATTCTTTCCCTACTGTGCCAGGAAAACAGTTCTCCTTTGTCTATAAGAGACTCTTCAGCTTCATAAAATGGCTTCATATTAATCTACTGGCAAAACTAATTTATACTATTGGTCAATACCCATCATGGATTGAGAGGGATAAAGGGGTTGGATCTGTTAGCCCTGTCTTCCTTTCTCTGATCTCCAGTGGTTTTGGGATGAATAATATGGGCAGAATAAATTCAGATGAATTTGATTTTCCTAGGATCTCCCTTTTGTATGAATAGGCGCCCAAACTGTTGTACAGGTATGCACACAGAGTCTTTCCCATTCTGTTCAAACGTGGATCAAGTAACATATTTTAAGTATTATAGCCTGATAGCCAGTGTGGTGTAATGGTTTGGGCATTGGACTAGCACTCTGGGAGACCCAGCTTTGCCAAGGAAACTCCCTGGGTGACCTTGGGCAAGTCACATTCTCTCAGCCTCAGAGGAAGGCAAAGGCAAACCTCCTCTGAAGAACTTTGCCAAGAAAAGTCTATGATAGGTTTACCTTAGGTTTACTCCATAAGTTGGAAATGACTTGAAGGCACACAACAACAACACTTGATAGATCCACGGATGCATGATCTATCCGTAAAAACTACTTAGAGATGATCCTGGATTAGAACTAGTTTTTAACCACTTGATTTTCTCCTTCATGTATTCATACTATAAACCCTCCCTTTCCCTACATGTGTTTCCCTATTCAGTCAAGCATCAGATACCAGTGTGAGAAATTCAATGGTCTAAATTGAATTGCTAGATTTAGCAATTCTAGATTTAGCAATTCTAAATCTAGCAATTGCTAGATTTAGCAATTCTAGCCATGGAAACCCACTGGGTGATTTTGGGCAAGTCATGCCTCTCAGCCTAAACAAACCTCCCTTGAACATTTTTTTTTGCCAAGAAAAACTTATTACAGCATTATCTTAGGATTGTCATGTCAAAAATGACTTGAAGGCACACAATACCAAGACTTATGTAAAGCCCATAGTCCATAGTCAATTGGATCTACTCTATGGGACTAGCAGTTGGGTTTAGGCCAGGGGTAGGCAACCTTTCCCCTTTAAGGGCCGAGGGACTTCAGCTCCCAGAATCCCAGGAGGTATTGGCCAACATGGGACTATTGGCCAACATGGCTGAGGCTTCTGGGACCTGAAGTCCCTCGGCCCTTAAAGGGGAAAGGTTGCCTATCCCTGGTTTAGGCCATAGTCTTTACACAGCTAATTACATATACTATGTAGTATAGATCCATTTAGAACCAGTGTGGCATAGTGGTTTGAGTGTTGGACTACAACTCTGGAGACCAGGGTTTGATTCCCCGCTCAGCCATGAAACCCACTTGGTGACCTTGGGGAAGTCACATGCTGTCAGCCTCAGGGGAAGAGAACTGCAAACCTCCTCTGAAAAAATCTTGCCAAGAAAACTTCATAGTTCTTCCCCAAGTCCTTCACCTTAGGGTCACCATAGGTTAGTAATAATTTGAAGACACACAACATGAACGTAGCTTTATATTATAGTCAGCATGGTACAGTGCTTTGAGCATTGGTCTACAGCTCTGGAGACCAGGGTTCGATTCCCCACTTGGCCATGGAAACCCACTGGGTGACGTTGGACAAGTCACACATTCTCAGCCCCAGAAAACACCATGATCTGGAGTACAGCTAATACCAACCATAATAGCAGTCAACCAACCAATCAATAAATAAATCTAAACTAGCTTAAAGCAGCATTGAATTAAAAATTCAGGCTTAGGGTTGCCATAAGACAGAAATAACTTGAAGACACACAGCAACAATAACAATAGATTTATTCTAGTAATATATTCAAGCAATTTATATTATTTCTCAGAGGGGGAGGGCCATGTTACATTAACTACATAAAAAAATAGCAACAAAGAAATTTGTGGCACATAAAAGACCAACATGTTGGTCATAGCATAGGTTTTCAATAGAAAGATTCTATTCCATGAAAGTTTATGCCCTTTCCACTAGCAGGGCTGCTGCACTTCTATTTTTCTTATGAATTTTAAATTCTGTGCTGTTTTAACCTAATTTATATTTATTGACTGATTGACTGACTGACTGACTGACTGCTATTATGGTTGGTATTTAGCTGTATTCTGCTTTAATCTGTATTAGAAGCCATCTTGGGACCCACACTGGGAGAAAGTCAGGATAAATATAAAATATATAATTAACAAAGTAATGCCTCTTTATACCTAATAATTTGAGGAAACAGATCATTGTCTGCAAGGGAGAGGTAAACTGGATCCATTTAAACGCAGAGAGACTATATCCTGTACAAACGGATGAATTTGCTTACATGGCATTTCTACTTGCTCCATGCTCTTTGGACAGTATATATTAGGATAAAGTTGAGAAATATTGCTCTGTTCAGCAGGATTTTGAGTCATTTGACTTTTTGAATTGACGCATTAAAAGCCAAAGAGATTACAAGGACAAAAGGAAAATGTTTCCCTCAGCCTAAGTGATACAATGGAATAGAGGGTGAGGGTATAGTTGGATGCAGACAAATGAATCTGAACAGTCTGAAAACAGACAATAACGTTTTCAGAGAGTTGGAAGCAGTGTGAACGGGCATTGTAAACTCATTTGTCAGCTCTGGAAACAACTTGTTTACAGGTATTTGTATGTAGTGTTTCAGGACCAAATTCATACAATGCTGAGTTTCATTTGTTTTACTTGTAGTTTCATACCACTTTCAGTGTAGAACTGGTACACAGTGTGCCTATCAAGAGATTTTTGACATTCATAAAAACTTTTGTCAGCCTCCAGCTTCAAACACAATAATACCTCTTCTTTCAAAAAGATTTCATTAGATCAAGCTGTTCTTAAAGAGAGGATAAGCTGCCTGTAAAGATGTCACCTTCCTAGCTTTCCCTGACATTCTTTTCTATCACTGATCTGATCTTACAGTTACTCAACATTACATTTTTAATACAGCACTAGACTTATTCATAGTGTGTTACAGAACAAAGAGAGTCCCTACACCAGTGTGACTGCAGCCTAATTATATCAAAATGGTGCAACAATCAGATTAAGAAGGTTCAGGCTGGAGCGAAGGCCTGGTATGAAACTGTGAATCTGAAGCAGGGCTGGCCCTATAATTAGGTAAAATGAGGTATTTCCTTCAGGTAGCAAGAGCGCTCTGCTGCTGCCTCCTGAGTCCATTCCCTCTCTGTACCTACTTAGCCTAGTTTTACCTGCTAGTGAGCACTTCACAGCTGTTCACTACAGATCATGTTGCTGCACTTCTGCTACCTGTCCCTGCTGATTCCTCAAATAGCACAGGGCAAGCTACTGGTACTCTGGTAAGCTTAGCCATTAGACTGGTCCGTCTGGTAAGCTTTGCCATTAGACTGGTCCCTCTGGCAACCTCCGCATTTACTTTCCCCACCTACCTCTACAGCTCACCATCCAAGCACCTGGAAAAAAAGGGTTGGGGGAAAAAAGAATGACTTGTTTGTCTATCGCTGGCCAACCAGGCAGTCAAACAACTCACGAACAAATGGACTGATGTGATCTGCAATAAAATGTGTCCCTGTAAATCCAACACTGTGCCTTTTTGGGGTACTGTGCTATAGATGTCGGGCTGGGGCAAAATTTGCAGGTTTGCCTCAAGCAGCAAAATGTCTTGAGTCAGGTCTGGTATGAAGTAGGCCACAGACAGGATCATGAAGTAAGACAGAAAGCAGAGGAGGAAAAGTCCATTCATAGCATTCCCTCACCTGCCCATTGTATGTGCCTATGCTTAAGTAAACACAGGAAATGAACACAACAGATCAATAATGGGGTGAAGAAAGTAGACATTAATTATGTAGCTTCTCAGGGCAGGTTTACACAAGATGCACCTGAGCCATCCTCACCACTCCAAGGTATGCATTTGAATGGAAAGCATAATATATGAATAGAGTTGATCATAGATAAGGGCAGTAGCACGTCCCATGATTGTCTCTGAAGATGCCAGCCACAGATGCTGGCGAAACGTCAGAAAGAAACTCTTCTAGAACATGGCCACACAGCCCGAAAAACCCACAAAAAACTATTGTGGCAGCACTTTGCCCCAAAATGTAGTCAGAGAAATAATTGCCAACTGCATCCCCAACTGTTTGGTTTATGTATTATATGAGATACAGTGAGCGTGCACTCAAGGATGATTGGTTGTTTAGGTTTAGAGTGGCATGGAAATTGTGTGTCTTTCCAGATGTTCTTAGACTCCAATTCCCAGTAGCTCCAGCCAGCATAGCATTGGCAAGGAATACCAGATGTCCAACATCATCTGGAAGACCACATTATTTCCACACTGGCAAAGACAGCAAACTGATCCTTGGCCTTTTCCACCTGGACTTTCTGCTGAGATTATGCCTACTGGTTAGTCTGAGGGTACTTCTTCTTGCCAATAAGATAAAATATGATTTAAAAAAAAGAATAGGTTATATACAGGGGTAGGCAACCTTTTTGAGCCGGGGCCAGGTTGCTGTCCCTCAGACAATTGGGGGCCGAAGCACCAAAAATAAATAAATGAATAAATAAAATAATAAATAAATATTTTTTTAAAAAAAATTAAAAATATGCATGCACACTCTCTCAGCCCCAGAAAAGCCATGGCAAAACCCGTGGAGATTTTGCCAAGAAAACCCCAAGGACAAGTAATAACAACAATAATCAATATCATCATGGCGGGTGGCGGTGGCGGCGGCAGGACTGGCCTAGGGCCAGTCCAAAAGCCTCGGGGGGCATATCCGGCCTATCCCTGGGTTATATACTTAGATAGCCTTCTGCCACTTTGGACCCTCTCATCAGATATCTTTTACATTCAGTGAAGCATTATATAAAGCTCTCTCTTTCAAATTGTTTCTCCATATTCTGATTGGAAATACTCCAAAGAGGCCTCAGCATTGCAGAGGCTTAATTATCACCTAATTATTTACACAATATTTTTGCAACCTTGTGGCCCTGTGATAACACATTTGTTGTATCATCTATAATAACTAGTCATTCTCACTAGTATTACTCATTGTTAATTTTTTGTTTCATCACAGCACTTTGACTATATACATCCTACATTAACTACTCTGAGATATATGTTATACATCTTTTGAATATTAATCTATTATTGGTTTTCCCATGATTAAAAAAACAACACTGTGGTACTTGTGTATCAAACACATTAAAAAAATGCCTATTATTTTGATCAAGAGCTTTCTCCCCACCATAGTTTATGTTCTTAACTTTAAAATAATGTAAAGCCTAATGCTGAAATTCTTGCTGATTTAAACACATTGGCTGTATTGCGCATCATGATGCTTAGCATGATAAACATTAATTTTCCCCAGAGGCTTACCCAAGACATTTTGTTGTGGGATGTGAAAGACAAAGATCCCCCCCGCCCCCATCATACTCTCTCCATGAACAGAATCCAACTGGACTTATTTGAACAATGGTGATGGAATAGTATTATCCCCTTGCAACCTTCCTCATCTCCCAAGAGCAGTAGGCTAGTTAGTGGATGCAGAGCAGACAGCAGGAAACACATATCATCCAAGGCTCCCTGATTTAGTATGAAATACATGCTACATTAGCCTCCTGCCCCCATGACATAAAGTGAAGGACAAGACAGAACAACAAATGCTGACTGGACTTGCACTTCAACTCCAGTGACAGAGCAACATCCTCCAATACACCTGAGAGCAGGTTAGGAGATGTAGGGCCTGCCACACATTACTCACAGCCCTCTTCAACAGAAAGTAAAAGACGGAAAGGCTTAGAAGAAATTAGTGAAGAACCTACCCCTGCTATCTCTCACAAATGCTCCCCAACATCTGCTGGTTGAGGCAATTGCCTCACTCTGCCTAATGTTAGGGATGGACTTGTACTCTCCACACCGCCATCTCATGCACTCCTCCTTTTCCTTTTCAGTACAACTGTGAGGAAGAGTTTGGATGTTTTCATTTTTTAATTGTAATTAACCACAACTGTTATCACGTTCCAGTCCTGAACTGTAGTTGAATAATACTCTGGTTTGTGGAAACAAGCCAAATTCATAAATTATGCATTGAAGTTGGGCAGTTTTAAGCAAATAGTTAAGCTTAACCACAGTTTGTCAGATTGAGACAACATGGCAAGTTACAATTAATAAAACAATTGAAAGCATGGTTCATCATGACATTCAAATGCATTTGTTCACTCTCGCTTCTGCAGTTTTATTCTCTTTCAGAGATGGCACATCCAGCACAATATGTTTTGATGAAAATACAGAAAATAATTTCTTTTCAATAAAAACTGTTTTAGTAATTAAAGAGGAAAAAG